ATTGCAACATTAAGTAACTCCACTAGTCATAGTTATTTACAAATCTATAATACAGCGCGTAACCTGGTCTCCAGACCTAGTTCCAGTAAATGAGCAAAATTCATTCCGTGTTTCATTCCCGAAATCGAAAGAGAATTGTAAGACGCTAGCGCAGTCTGTTCTCTGACTTACACGCCTTAGCCGAAATACAGGGCGTTTGGTACAAGAAAACGTTTGGCACGAGTCACAGACCTTAAGGGCCTCAATACCGCGCTGCTAGCATTTCCCCGTCTTACAAGTTAATCTTTAATTTGATTATTTGAAGAAACTTGCAAACAATATCATCATCACGATAGGTATGTCTAATAATGTTCATGACCAATTGAGAGTGTGTTTACCGTTAATTCATAGTGGTAATTTTTTTAAGCTTTTTATTGGTAAAGTCTAATTCTTCGTTGCGCAGGAAATCATCCAGCCGAGCCAGCTCCAGGCACTCAAGCAGAAGATGCTTGACGGTGTGGGGCAGTAAATGACATTGAAGGGCATTGATCCGAATGAATGTGCTGTCCAGGCAGTGTTTGTAGGAGTAAAGTGAGGGATGGTGACCAGAACAAAGTCTATTGAGGTGCACCCTGTCTGCACGGTTTAACTACTGTTCTGTGTGACGGATGTCTGGCAGTATTTAATCTATTATGTTATTGATTGGTAGATTCGAGAGAGCGTTCCGGGTTAGATGCCTGCGTATATGTTTGACGAAGTTGGCTGGGCCTGTGGTCGGGAGTAATGAGTATTGTGAGGTAGAAGTTGTATGGAGTATTAGCTACTGTTTGGGTGTTGTGGGTAAATGCTAAAAGTGAAGAAGAGGTTGTAGAGTACTGATGCGAGGAATTGGGTGCCTCTCATATCTAGGTGTTATTTCATAATGAAGACTCGGGTTTCTACGTGGACACGGCTGGGTGATGTGGCTTGCGTGCTTCCAAGTGCGATTCTGAATGCTGTGTTTTGTATGGTTTGTAGGTGATTGTGGAGTGTGGGTGAAATTATGGGTGCCCAGGCAGAACTTGCATAGTCCAGCACTGACTCCAGGTAGTGGTTAGTGTCCCCAGGTGAGTGGTTAGTGTCCCCAGGTAGTGGTTAGTGTCCCCAGGTGAGTGGTTAGTGTCTCCAGGTTCCAGGGCCTGGTGTGGGACTATCTGCCCTGGAGTAGGACTATCGTCCCCGGAGTGGGGCTTTCTGCCCTGGAGCGGGGCATTCTGCCCTGAAGTGGGGCTGTCTGCCCTGGAGTGGGGCTATCTGCCCTGGAGTGGGGCTATCTGCCCTGGGGTGGGGCTTTCTGCCATGGAGTGGGGCTATCTGCCCTGGAGTCGGAGTGGGGCTTTCTGCCCTGGAGTGGGGCTTTCTGCCCTGGAGTGGTGCTCTCCGCCCCGGTGTGGTCTCCACTTTGGTGGCCCCGTTCTGTAGCCCTTCAGCCATTGAGAAATCTTGAGTTTTTTCCGAGACACCCTTTTTTGTGTCTGAAAACAAAATTCAGTCAAATTCCTTGAACTGTTCTGACATGGGGCCGCATTGAACCAGTCTTCAGAGGCTCCCATAAATTTCAATTAAAGAAAGAAAGCTGTGTTGTGAACACGGGATGCATGCCAGAGTGCAGCATTGCCCAATACCAGCAAAGTCCGGCATTTTTTGCATGCTCTTTTCCGTGCTGACCGTGCATAAGCCTGCTACAGGGCAGGGTAGCCTAAGGGTACGAACACATTGAAAGCAGGTATCCAGCGTGCTGGTTACCTGCTCAGGCTGGCACCTGAAAGCTGAAACCATAGATCACAGAAGCCTATTTGTACAGGTTTTCACTGTGAACACTTACATTATTATCTTTTGTTCATTCTTGTGGCAGGTTGGAGCAGGTTGCCCGCGCAGGCAAACCTGCTTTTACTGTGTAAATACCCTAAGGCCTAAGGGATTATAGGGCTGATTTGAGAGTTAATTTGCTGGTCTACGGCCAGGGTGCAGAAGGTGGAAGCAGCGTTGCCAATATATGGGGTTTTAAGCCCAAAGCGTCACTGACCATTTTCAAAATGCGTCGCCGGGTAATTTTTAATGAAAAGCAATTTACGCTGAGTAATGAAAAACTATTTACAAGCCACGAAATTATTTACAAGGTTGCATGCACATGTGTGTTACCCCAAATATCTAATTTTACCCTAAAAACAGCCCGATTGTACAGCAAGTGTCAACTGAACATGTGATGATGCAGTCTGATCGCTCTAATGTGACCGCAACTACATTTTGTTTACATTTTTTTGGCGGGAACTCATCGCAACCGATTTCCGGACAAGCTTTACTGCATCTTGATCCATCCAATGTACCAGAAACCTTAATTTTTCTAAATAGTTGGCCGAAGACTGACAAATGTATTAAATGCAAGAATTACAATCTAAATGTGTCGGCAAGATCTTCTGAAGGTGTAAATTTTGCTACTGAAGTGTTGCCAAAGATCTTGCTATATTCATCCACTCTGCACAGTGGGTCTACGGCTGTGCACTTGTGAAGCTGCCGTTGATGTCAGGAGTGTCCCGAGTGTGCTGGCTTTGAAGGACAAACTTCAATAACTGAAAGTCAACTGAGATGAACTGACAACTGATGTATTTTTATCCACTTTCCTCTCTAAGATCAAGGCAAAATTGTAATTATTTTTACAACATTATTTATATTTCTCAATATTATTATTCTTATGTTTTGCCGTAATACGGTAATCCGTTGGAGACAAGAGCAGTTGCCCTGTGAGGCTGTGGTGGGTGGCCTGTGTCAGCCTTGCAGTGCTGGACACAATGGGCAAAAAAAACAGCCTCTAATCAGTCAGATTTGAATTGAAACTCTTGCTTCAGCAACGAAAACTTGTCACTTTCTTCTTTTGATCCATGGAATTCCATCTCTTTCACATACACTTTCCTTAACTCAGAGCTCAGCAGTCACCTGTCAGCACTTCAATGCAACCTGGAAGGCTGGACCTGCCTCCTCACTCTAACCCTGGGCCCCTGGTGCCCTGCCCCTCTGTGATACTTCATTAAATGTTCATCCCATGATGCCCAATATTAACACCTAATTCTGGTGGTCACAACTTTCAGGGGTTTTAATGACCTCTTTGAGGAGGTTTTCTCTTTCGATGATTTTTCTGACTCTGACACCATGATTATATCAGGATAAAGAATAGAAAGAAACAATGATGGGAACATGATGAATCTGTAAATAAATTATGGAGAGTGAGTCTGCATCTCACGCCTGGATGAGACTATGAGTCTGCATCTTGCTCCTGGATGGATGATGGATGGTGGAGACTGTCAACCTGCACCTGGCCAAGTTGATCTAAGTAGGTTCCTCTCTAATGACCTTGCTCTCAGACTCTCAGTCTTAGCAAGGCTCTGATCGACTCTATATGGAAAATTTGGCATCTCCAGCATGTCAAAAAACCATGCCTGTACTTTGCTAGTTCTGAATATGAAAATATCACAGGATATCTCACATCTGCAAGAAGTAGAGAAGCTAGGGATTTGGAAAGTTATTGTAGACTTCCTGATGAGCACTGACCTCTGCAGGACATCTGGGTGTCACTGCAGAGGGAATCTTGAAGGGGAAAGATCTCATCAGAACATAGATGTTCAAAACTTCAAAGTAACTGTCCCTTGTAGTGTCCTGCCTTCACATCCCTCACATGTGACAATTAGTTACCAGTGCTTCCAAGTAAACATGTTTGTAGATAAGTCCTGGCAATGTTTTAGGTGTTGTCATGGGATGCCTTCTGTGTCCAACTTTTGCAGAATTCTATATGAAATTTGAGGGTTGCTCAATACATTTGAAGATAATTCCTTTGTCATTAATATTTACCAAAAACCTACCAATATTTTAAGCGCTAAATGAAGAAAGTGAATGCCCACAATGCTATAAAAGAAGCGCTATGTGCATTGTCATACAAAGGGCTTTCATGACCTGCACATCGGGGATGTGATTTGAAAACTTAACTTAGAACTAGTAAAAAAATCTTAGTGAATAATGGGTTTTCAAATAGAACAGTCAATTCTGAAAAATCGAATTATTATTCCAGAAATAACATAACCTGCAATGCCACAATATCTAAAGGTAACATCACAACAATCTTCTACCAAAACTAGATGAACAAAGGCCATGAAGTAGATGAACAAGCTCTTCAGTCAATCTTTCATGATAATGTCAAGAGCACAGCAGATAATGCAAAAATGAAACTTCTGATCTACTACAAAAATAAGTAAATTGAAAATCGTATAATGAATAATAATCCTTGTAAAAAATCTGGACTGTGTCAAGAAACTAATGTTTATAAATTCTCATGTAATAAAGAAGGTTGTAGATTTCTTCAAAATATGAACTACATTGATCTTACTAGCTCGACCTTAAGCCGACAACTCACATGAGATCTACCATCTGGAGGACATAAGAACCACATGTGGGAGGCTTGCAATGAGACCCATCACATGAGCGACATTGGAGTCCTGCATCTGCATAGTTATGCAGTGCTCTTACCCATCAAGGCTGGCGATAGCTGAGGCTCTCATTACCAAGAGTAGGTCTCCAGCTATCAACCTCCAGACTACAGAAATTGTTTAGACACTGAAACTATTTTCAGAGTAATTTAAGCTTGGATTTCAAATTGTATCCACAATACCATTGATTTGTAGTACTGTCATTTCCATAAGTTCAATTTCAAGTGTTGCAAAACCTTCACCTACTTGATAATGAAATTTGTATTTTTGAAAGAAAATCTATTCAAATGTCATTTGGTAACCTGCCTTTTGATCTCCTGCGCCAGCAAAGGCCAGCATGTTCAACTTGTTGAAAAATAAATGCGATTATTAATAAAAAGCATGCTCTGGTCTTTAAACAAACTTGCATATTTATATATACACATATATACAAAATATTTCATTACTTTTAATTTTATTTTCACTACTTATGGTTTTTAGAGACATAGATAAAAATGTGAAAACTGTCACTGGAAGCTAAATGAACCACTTTTTCAGAAACGGTGCTATCTATGTAAATACTAAATAAAAACTTTCAAGTTGACTAGTTCCAATTCGTAAAACATGACTGTTTGCTTTGTTCATGGTTGTGAAACTTCTTCACAAATTAATCTTTATAAGCTTTATACATTTCCAAAGTGTGAAGTATTTTGTAAAAATGGCTTTTGGCTTGTGGCCAAAGTGACATGGGTGTTGATAACTGTAAGAACTTCAGAATTTGTGGTAAACACTTCAGTGCTATGCAGTACAAAAGAGACTTCCGATTTGAGCTTTGTAGCATCAAACGAGGCAAAAACTACCGCGATTTGAAAGAAGATGCTATTCCAGATCAATATCTGCCACTGCCAGCCACATTGCTAAATGATTCAACACAATTTGGTTGGTAACTATGTATATAAGTTTGGCTACTTTTGTCTAGTGAGGTTTCATTGAAGACCAGAGAATTTGTTTTATTCGCAATTTTCTTATTAGTTTTTTCAATATATCGAACAATATTTTTAGTTTGAACTGGCAAATCGAANACTCAATTCTAGATTCACAAGTTACACTGATTATTAAAGAAGCATTTTGAACCTTCATCCAATGCAGGGCATGAAAATTTGCACGGCTGTAATGACCATATTCATGTTCAAGGAGTTGAAATATTTTAAGAAATGACTATATTGATCAGTAAACATACTCAAATTATTTGCCTATTTGTATGTATACCATATATACTACTGACATTAATCGTTATTCCTAATATAAATCTTGAAAGCCAATTTCATCAATAAAATAGCCATTGGGGTGTTTGGGGCTTCAGACATTAATGTTGCATTGGAACTATATGTTAAAAATGGCAAAATTTAATAACTTGACTTCAGATGTTAAATATTGTAAAAAATAGGGTTTTGTATTGTAATTTTGTACCATTTTGAACAATATTCTAATGTAGTCAAGTTCTGTGCATCAAAGATTGTTGATACATCAAGCAAATAATTGTGTACTTAAGTAAATTAGGATATGTGAATTTTGTTGCAAATGTTGAAATTAAGTACTTCTTTCAAGCCTCTGTTGCACTCTGCACAATTTTCCGTATCCCTCCAGTGTTATTTTTTTTGCTGCAAACATTATCCATTGAAAAACTTCAACCTAATTTATTCATAATTCTCATCACATTTGGCAATGGCGTCTATCACCAAAGAAGGCAGTGGTGTGCTGCAACAACTCTCCGATGCTGCAGTCAGGAGTGGCAGATGCCCTAATTCAAGCCTCACTCAAGCGTCTCCTGGTGGCAACAAAGTAAAGTCTGAAGGTTAGCAATATTCCATGTGCCTAACTAACCAATTGTTATTATTCAGAGGAGGAACTGAGTTCATGTAAATTTGTCAAATTTATTTCTCATCTGTAATTATTTCTTAGGAGTTTTAGTACAATATATGATAACATTATGTTGGAATATGCCACCTAATGGGTCTCACTCATCAGAGTGATATTACTTTTTTTTCTAAAGCTCATATGATTCATTACATTAGAGAGCATTATATTTACTATGAGATACTTTCATCCATGGCCTAGTGGTACCAGTACACTAATGTACATATTTTTTTCAGCCTTGGAAAAGATTGACCCTCCACCAGTCCTCGAAGTTCCTGCTATCTACATCAAGGAGGAACCTGAGGATGTAACTGAAGAAGGATCCATCAAAGAGGAGCCATTCTTATGTGGAAATGAATTAGGTGGAGTTGATGAGCAAAAAATGTTTAGCAAAGCATTTGAAATTCCTGCAGAGGTTTCCAATAAATGAACAGCAAGATGCAATTTCTGCAATGAAATCTCTAAATTAAGCTTCAGGAGATGCATCGTAACCAATTATTTAGTCTGAAAAGTTGAGCATAAATAATTAGGTATGAAGAGCCCTCACCCTGACTCAATAATTGCTAAGAAGTTTTGGAAAATTTGATTTATAATTACTAGCATTAGGATTGTTATTCTAAACCAAACCCATGTTTTCGTCTCATAGCTGTCTGTAGTCAAATAACTATGATATGTGATTGCTTTTATTTGCAGGAAATGAAAATGAAATGTTGTTGCCTCTATTGGCAGGAACCATGCAAATATGTCCAAATACAACGAAGAGAAAGAGGTGCCGAGAGCATTCATGTATGGCAATTGGATCCAATAAAATCTTACTAAAAGTGTGCATTTGCTTCTGAAATTGCCACCCATTCTTAGATTTCCATTTGAATTTCAGAAGTGGCAAGAAAAACATTTACTTATATCATGAAGCATCAATATGAGGAAACGTTTTGCGGCCAGTAATTTTGATCCATTGACATTCAAATGCTGTTGAGGAAATTCGAAACTTGCAGAGACTTCAATGAGAAGTTGTACATTATATCCCATCTAAAGCTGCACATATCACTATCTGCCACATCAATATTGTCCTTTCCTTCTCACCAGACCTCTTCAAATCGACATCTTCCTAGTTTACCATGCTAGACAATCGAAAGTTGAGGCTCACAACACCCACCCAAACTCCTCACAAAACATTTCAGCTCTTCTGATGAATCAGGTATATATTCATAATTTTAGCTTCCACTAATACACACTATAAGTAAAAATTTTGAAAATTTTTCCCAGTTCTTCAAGATTGCAAATCGTTCAATTTATTGTGATTATTTGAGCATAAAATTATGACTTAATAGGTGCTGGTAGTGACGCTGGGAACAGATGTCCTTTTCCCAATGCATTTAATGCCGCTAGTGAAACAATGATTTCTAATCTTCAATAATAAATGACAATGCCTCTCCCTTAAGCGAGGATTAAAACATAGAACAAAACATTTTGTTCAGAAGGAAGATGAAGGAATGCACTTGAACCTGTTACATTAAATGTAACATCCTTATACACCTCATGTATCTGAGATCACATCCGAGAATGGACAGAATTGGTAATAATCAACACCACACAGCATTGGACGAGTGGAAAATGGAGTGCTTGGGTTCATGGTATGAGTTGATGACGACTCTGGTGGCATTGGTGGGGAGACTGTTGCTGGCCAGTCTAAGAGTAATAGTGCTGGTCATATTTGGTAGCATTGGCTGAATGACATACAGATTGTCTTCCAAGTTGTAGAATTTGTGGTTCTGTCGTGTGATTTGTGGCAAGGGTGTTGCAGATGGAGACACTGCAGTAGTACCGTCAAACGGGGTAAAAAGGGACGGTTTTGAGCGTTTTTGTTAATAACTTCTAACCATGAAACATTTCATAAACAAGTTTAGGCTCATTTTAACGGTCTTTGCAAGGGCTATCGTATGGCATCTCCAAAAAAATTCCATAGGTATCCTATTTGTAAGGTGCTAGATGCAATATAAAAGGCTCCTGAATTAATCTGGAAATAGGGTAAAAAGGGACACTTGAATTAAAACTCAAATTTTAAACATTTGAAGCATGCAGAGTGTACTCATCTATTACTAACAGTACTCTGAAGTCCTCCTCTTCCTTTGTAGATGATGTAAATGTAGAATAAATGAAATTTTCTGTGATTTTTACTTGGTTTTTTCTATATTGATATAATATTACCTTATCCATACATTACCGTATTATTAATGTGATATTACTGTATCCATGGACATACCATTGAGCATTGACAATGACCTTGTCCACTGCAAGCTTCATATCAGCAGCCATGTAGCCTTTCTTCTGTATCTGTAAGCTTACAGGATGGTTTGTAATTTTGCACAATTTTAATTGAGTCGAGTGATTTCACTATAACAAAAAAGATTGTAAAAAACATACCTGAAACAGGAAGGAATATATTAGTGACAACCATCATGTTTTTTGGAGAAATAAATCATGGTTTAGGTTAACTACTTTTCATTCTTTGTTGCCCAGTACCCAATTCTATCTGTGACATTCTATGCACAATTTTGTGATGGCTGTAATATGCACAATTTTGTGATGTGAGTAATTTTTTATTTAGTGAAATTTTTTCGCTGAGCAAGGTAAATGTAATCAAAATTATTTGCTGTTAATTGATTTTTTCATTGACTGGAGCCTTTACTAACCAAGGTTCTACTGTAAATGCAATTCTAGGGGTGTCCCTTATTACCCCCGGGGGAGGGGGGTGTCCCTTATTACCGCGTGTTGCGGAAAGTGCCACCATTTTTTCTTGGTATGAGATATGCAAATTCTGTCAATCACGTTTTTAAGCCAACACTAGTGTGCAACTTTTATGTAAGTAAAATTTTTCAATACACACTTCAATCACACTTTCTTCAGGGATTTTTGAGGTATTAAATGTATGATTTCTCAAATTGCTTTATGCTGCATAGATAGTAAAAATGTTGAACTTTACACCACTATTTTTAGTTTTGCAATATTTTAATTGGTTTAGCTGCTACAACATTTCTACAAAATGTTGGAGGACTGTCCCTTTTTACCCCGCCCGTCCCTTTTTACCTTGTTTCACGGTAGTAATTGGGTGGAAAGGAGGTTTGTGTATTATCTGGCGGTAAGCATTTGATTGTACACACATACAGGGACACGCAATAGTATTGGATACATTACAGTTTTATTTATATCTCAAGTTAAATGCAAGATTTTACATAATATTTGGTCTGTATATTTCTAATGGCATTAGAAACATATAGAAAGGATATTGGAAGGTATTCGGTGTTTAGATTTTATTCGGCAAAATAGAACAATTAACCCACAGAAAAGTATTGGATACATATTCATAAATGAACAAAAATAACTTTTTAAGGGGAGCATCTGGCCAAAAATTTTGGATTTTGACTTACCCGAATTTTAGTCTTATCTTAAAGCTGACATTCTGACCTATCCAACGGTACCAAAACCATCTCTTTACGTTGATTTATGCGTTCATGACAGATCGCGAAAAGGTTAGGGGTGGTGGAGTTCTTTAACATTTAAACATTTAAGGGAGCATCTGGCCAACATTTTATCTCGGCTATTTGCAGACGGATCAATTTGAAACTTGCTACACATGTGTAAAACCAAAAAAAGACAGCTTTTATTTATATCAATTTTTCGAAAAAAGTTAAAGAAAATGTTAAATTCTTAGAAAACAGCCAAAAAAGGGGGTATGGTAGAAACTCCTCTTAGGATTTTTCATTTTTAGGAGGTAGACTCTCCTCTTAGGATTTTCAAGCTACAACATCGAGACACTTATCATTCAATGCAAAAGATCCATATCTATCAATTTGTCATAGCTTTTTGCAAAATACAAATTTTTGTGGGCGGGGGAGCATTTTTCATAAATTTTTCAAGAAATTTTTGATTCCCCTCCCCATTTTTCAAAATATGTTCAAAACTATAATGGAATTGAAAAATACAATCAATCTCTAGATCTTTTATTTGCAAATCGAATGGTATATCTCTCATTGCTTTAGCTTCAAAACTGTAGGAGGAGATAGTTTTCCAGTGACAATACTACTGCCCACCTCTGCTTATTACCCCCAGGGGGAGGTGTCCCTTATTACCCCGTTTTGCGGAAATGGCCACCATTTTTTTTTTGGTATGAGATATGCAAATTCTGTCAATCACCTTTTTAAGCCAACACTAGTATGCAACTTTCATGTACATAAAATTTTTCAATACACACTTCAATCACACTTTTTTCATGGATTTTTAGAGGTAATAAATGTATGATTTCTCAACTTGCTTTATGCTGCATAGATAGTAAAAATGTTTAACTTTACACCACTATTTTTAGTTTTGCAATATTTTAATTGGTTTAGCTGCTACAATATTTCTACAAAATGTTGGAGGACTGTCCCTATTTACCCCGCCTGTCCCTTTTTACCCCGACCGTCCCTTTTTACCCCGCCCGTCCCTTTTTACCCTATTTGACGGTAGTTATTGGGTGGAAAGGAGGTTTGTGTATTATCTGGCGGTAAGCATTTGATTGTACACACATACAGTGACACGCAAAAGTATTGGATACATTACAGTTTTCTTTATATCTCAAGTTAAAGTGCAAGATTTTACATAATATTTGGTCTGTATATTTCTAATGGCATTGGAAACACATAGAAAGGATATTGGAAGGTATTCAGTGTTTATATTTTATTCGGCAAAATAGAAAAATTAACCCACACAAAAGTATTGGATACATGTTCATAAATGAACAAAAATAACTTTTTAAGGGGAGCATCTGGCCAAAAATTTTGGATTTTGGCTTACCCAAATTTTAGTCTTATCTTAAAGCTGACATTCTGACCTATCAAGCGGTACCAAAACCATCTCTTTACATTGATTTATGCGTTCTTGACAGATCGTGAAAAGGTTAGGGGTGGTGGAGTTCTTTAACATTTAAGGGAGCATCTGGCCAACATTTTATCTTGGCTATTTGCAGACGGATCAATTTGAAACTTGGTACACGTGTGTAAAACCAAAAATAGACAGCTTTTATATATGTAATTTTTTTTAAAAAGTTAAAGAAAATGTTAAATTCTTAGAAAACGGCCAAAAAAGGGTGTATGGTAGAAACTATCTCCTCTTAGGATTTTCGAGCTACAACATCGAGATGCTTATCATTCAATACAAAAGATCCATATCTATCAATTTGTCATAGCTTTTTGCGAAATTCAAATTTTTGTGAGTGGGGAAGCATTTTTCATGAATTTTTCAAAAAAATGTTTGATTTATTCCTATTTCCCCTCCCCATTTTTCAAAATATTTTCAAAACTATAATGAAATTGAAAAAAACAATCAATCTCTAGATCTTTTACTTGCAAATCGAATGGTATATCTCTCATTGCTGTAGCTTCAAAACTGTAGGAGGAGATAGTTTTCCATTGACAATAAGTGAATGTTCAGTAGAGCGCAACAAAGTCCAGTGCGCCTCGAAATCGGCATTCAAGGCTGCATGGAAGCAAGACTTGACAATACTGGAGCTCTATTTCTGTCAAGAATAGTGCGAATGACTGCACGAGAACCATCCCGCACGACCGCAGCCGGGTAACTAAAATGTAGCGTGTTCAGACTGAATATTATGATTCAGACCAGTACAATTTTTAGAGCTCTCCTGATTGTGTCCTTTTCTACATCAATCCGAGCTTCCTTCAGGTTGCTTTTAATTTCACCACGAGTAACAAACAGGTTCTTCTGTGACTTTCTGCTAATTCACCTTGCATTACCGTCTGTTAGTTTCCTTGGACGACCAGGTCTTGGCAGGTTTGCAACAGCATGCTCAGATGATATCATGAGGATGATTGTTTCCTGATGATAATTCCAACTGTGCTTAATATGGAGATGGAGAGCGAGTGACTTTAGCTCGTTAGGGCTTGAATGCTACTTTGTTGTAATATCAGCAGCCATTTTCTTGAAGCCTTCTTGAGGGGTTGGCAGGAGTCAGTGCTGTGAGAGTGGCAGCCATGCTCCCAGGGATAACAGTGTTGCAGTTATTCCTAGGATTGCTAACTGGCGGTTCCCAACTCTGTTGACGATTTTTCTGAACACAGAATATTCTTTTATCGTTGTATAGATATACTTCATCAAAAATTTAGTAATCTATCAAATCTCGCGATGAATTTGGTTCTCTGAATTTCATATCTTTCATTTATGTCAACATTACTTTTACGATCTATTTGGTAGATTTTCCTGAATAATATTAGTAAACGCTGCCCCAATGTAATTAAATCATATGTATTGAGATTAGTGCTTTTATCTTTATAAGTTGCTAAATTCCAGAAAATGGCTCGTTCATAAATCTGGGTCAATATGAGATGAATTTCACGCTCTAAGACTGATTTCTTGATTTTATTATCTTGCAGCTGAAATAAAATGTCCTCCATACCTATGAAAGCTGTTATTCCACCAGTGAAACTAGGCGGCAATATCGTTCTCAACCACCAGATGGTCGGGAACGAGGTTGTGTCCAACTCATTTAACCGAACGGGTGTCCTCCTGCTGCGCTCACGACCAACACATTTGTCGCCATCTGGATGCCTGCTGTAACCAAAGCCTTGTGCGTCGGTACCAGGCGTTGCCTGGTACCGACATTCTCTGAAGTTTGAGAATCTGGCTATTCCAAATACCGCTACATGAAAACTCCAGATTTCAGTTTGCTAATATTAAAACTTGAGTAAATTTGAAGATAAGCAGGAAAACAATCTTCAAACTAGAATGTGTTCGAAAATAAGCAGGAGAACAATCGACGACGAGAGTTGCAGGACAGCGTGGTGTTGCAGGAACAATGGCCTGAGAACAATGGCC